AACTCCCTGCCCCTCAGTCTTGACCTCTTCTTCCTGCCAATGGCCTTGTCTTCTGCCCCAATTATGTCCTCAACCATGTCACCACCAGAACTCCCCCCCACCCCACCCCAGCATTCAATTAAACACGCAGTTCTCTGACCACCACTCCCTTCCCAGCTCACTCCCGAAAACCCTGACTCCAGCACTCCAGAGGCCCCCATGTGCATCCTTACCCCCTCCTCACTCGGTTTAGATTCCACAATTACTGCCACCCCTCCCCTGCACGTGTCCTTGACTCAGATGCCCCTCTCAGCATCTCACCTGGCAAAACCCCAAACCTGGACAAACCCAACCCCTCTGCTCACCCCTACTGGTCTCCCTGCTGCTCCTCAAAGACATACAATCCCAAACCCTTTGGAGTAGAGGCCAAAACCCACAACTGCCTCCTAGGCCTGGTCTCTGCCCTCTTCCTCTTCTCCTGCCTCAATTTGTTACTGCTGCCCCTTCCTGCACCCACCCCTCTCCCTAGCGCTTCCACCCACACGCCTCCCACTGTGGCCTCAGGACCTTCGCAAAGGGTTGTTTCCCCCAGTACTGTTGAGTCTCAGTAGCTCTCCACTGCCTAACTCCATCCCAAGTCCTGCCCCTCCTGCTCTCATCATCCAAGCTGTCACCTAGTCTACTCATCTTTCTGGTTAGCATCTGTGTCCTCTGCTGGATTGTGGGATCTAGGAGCACAGGGGCCAGTGTCTGTTGCCCCCTGCCTTGAACAGGCACTGCAGAGCACAGATGGGTGTTCAATACAGTTCTTCTGTTGGGAGAAGGCAGAAATGGCTCCAGACACACTCACGTCTGCAAGTCCTTGGTTAACTGTACACACATCAACTCCAGCCTGTGCTTGCTGAAGCCCACGTGAAGGGTGCAGTGATTTTTGAATCCTGAGCTACAATGGGAAGGGGCTGCTCAGAGCTGTGAGTCCCACCTCCCAGATGGAGAACTGGGGGCTGAGCCAGAACTAGCAGGTCAGGGCAGCCCATTATGCACACAAGACCCCAAATGGCTTCCAGGAAGGCAAGATACCCCATCCCCCAATCTGCAGTAGAAGAGAAGGCTGGGGGCAGGGGACTGGGGTGCCAAGGAGCCAGACCAAAGGAGGTAGCTAGGGAGTGGGATGTTCAGAAGGAGGTTTGGACCCTCTAGGCTAAGCTGGGCTGGGTTGGAGCCCTAATAGGGCAGAGTGGGGTGAGAAGGTGACCACAGGGCCTACTGGTGGGCACACACAGGCCTCCTGGCTCTGCAGGGGGGAGGGTGCTTGGTACACAACACTGGGAGTCTCCCCCTTAAAGCCTGGCCTTTTGGCAACATGGGACTACCCAGAGCTGGAGGTGGCACACCCAGAAGCAGAGGGAGAAAGAGGGACATAGAATCAACACAGCATCCCCCATCCCACATGGATAAGGGGTTGGGCCCAGTTACAACCTGAACCAGGAGAGGGGAGTGCAGTCCCTGAGGCCCAGAGGCTCTGTGGGGGTGGAGAGGCCAAGCCCAGTCAGTGCCTATGCTCGGGTGTTGGCGTGTCCCACAACCGGCTAGGTCTGCTGGAGGACAAACTGGCCTTGCCTCAGGATCCCAGTCTCCTCTCTTGCAGCAAAGCCCCCCATGCCTCAGGCTCTCAATGGGAGAGACTCAAGGTGGCCTCCAGTGGAGGAAGGCTGACACTTTCCAAAAGCCTGAGAATCTCCAACTGTCCTTCCCCAGCCTCTTTTAGCTGGACCCCAGGACGGGCACAGCGACCTTGGGATGGGGGGGGGGGGGGGGGGAGCAGGATGCTCCAACGGCGGTGGCGTGAGGAGGTCCAAGTAATTGAGCCACATGTGCGCTCCGCACCCGGGGCTGCTGCAGACTGATGGCCAAGGCCTGGGCCCAGCTGCCCTTCCCCGCCGGGTGCCCCGAGGGGCTATGGGCTCCACCCGAGTGAGCAGGAGCAAGGGCGGCCCGAATGGTCCCCTCGAGAGCGCCCGGCTGTGGGACACCTGTGTCCGCGCTCTGACGTCTCGTCGGTCAAGACCGTTGGGCCAAAGGGGTGGGGAAGTTGACAGAGAGAGGCAGGGACGGGGACAGCGAGCCAGGGGATGGAGGGACTGAGAGTTCGAATGGAGAGACAGAGAAAGGAGGGGAGAGTGAAGGGCGATCGAAGAAGGAGACTGAGGAAAGAAGTGGAGAGTGAGGGACAGAGGACCTGGCGGGGAGGAGGAGGCGGGGCAGGAGGACGGGGTAGGGAGTGTGGAAGAATGAGGAAGGGGGCGGAGGAACAAAAGTACAGAGACAGAGCGACAGGGTGACTGAGACTAATGGAGGGGACAGGGATGTGGTCGGGAACAGAGATGGGGCGGATGGTCTGGGAGGAGGCGGGGAGCGCGGGGTGAAGGGATTGCGTCCGGCACATCCCGCCGGAGCCCCGAGGGTTCGCCAGGTAATTAGCCCTCGGTCCAGATGGGCCCCCCAGTATAGCAATCAAAATGGTAATTGGCCCCGCGCCTCCGGCTGCGCCTCGGCCCGGCCCCCCTGGGAGGGAACAGGGACGAGCGGTTCGGCCGAGGGGGATCCCCCGTCCCCGCCCCCATTGCGGGCCTCGCCGGCTGCGGCTCTGCGATAAGGGGGCGGCCGCACCCCGCCCCCGCCCCTCGGGAGCAAGTGCCACGCAAGATGAATATCCCGCCGCTGCCGCTGCCCAGGCCACCGCCACAAAGCCGGCTGTGTTCTCCGCCGCGCCCCCCGCGCCGGGCTGGCTAGCTCACACCGGATCTCGAGCTCTCTTGGCTCCCGTGCCGAGACGCGGAGGAAGCGCCGCGCAAGCGGGTGGAGGCTGGGCGCCGAGCTCCGCACTCCTGGCAAGCCCCCGCTTGCGCGCCCCCGGTGTGGCCCGCCCGCCGCGCGCTCCCGGCCGGTGTCCGCGGGCCCGCCGGGCCGCCCCGCACAAGGTCACCGCGTGCAGCGACCGGTGTACGCGCGCGTTCCCCTTGCGCGCGCTCTCGGCTCGACCGCGCCCGCACACTCCCCGGAGCCACCCCTGCGACCTTGGTCCCCAGGGACAGCGGGCCGCGTGGGGGCGCGCTCCGAGCGTGCAAGCCCGAACCACCGGGAGGGAGCGGGTGAGAGGACAATGGCGGCGCCGGGCCCTAATTAGGGACATATGTCCCCGCGCGCGACCATTGTGCGGCCCGGAACCCCCTGCACCCCGGAGCCCCGCCATTGGCCGCTGTGCCTGACGTCATGGGGGCTGCAAACTCGGGGCGGGCGGCCGCGGGAAGGGTTATCCGCCTGGTTGCGGGGCCGCCTTGGGGAGCTGCAGTGGCGCGGAAGGGCGGAAAACCACCAATGAAGCCGAATTTCTGGAGCAAGGGCATGGCAGCCCCTCTCCCCCTCCGCTGCGCTCGACATCCGCCCCTTGGGAGAGAGGAGGGGTGGAGGGAGGCCTCTTCAGCGGGCACGGGGTCAGCCCGGGTGACCGAGTGGCAGGGAGACACTGCGGCAACAGGGTGCGCGCATTGCTTCTACAGTGAGCTTTCGCTGCCTCAGCATTCGCTCCTTCGCCTCCCGCCTCCTCCACCCGCCCCCGCCTCCACACTCGAAAGCTAGGCAGGCTGGACCAGACTGGGGTCCGCCCTTCCTTCCTCCCCAAAAGATCCCAAGTCCGGGGCTCGTGGGTCCCAGGTCTGTTTCCACCTTTGCCCCTACTCCTGACAATGCCGCGGACCGCTGGGCTTCCATTCCGGGAGCTGCTCAGGGGAACTCCACACATGCCGGGGCCGCGGCATCCCCAAGACCCCTCCCGGGAGACCCTTGCCGGGGCCGGGCGCAGCGCAGCCATTTCCGCCGGCCTCTGTCCCCTCCCCTCCCTCCCCCTCCCGCAGCTCCTGGGCTTTAAAAGCCAGAGGCTGGGCCTGGCCGCAGGCAGAGGCGGCCGCGGGCGCAGGAGGCTGGGCCCAGGAGCTGTCCGAGCGCCGAGCCCCGCCCCCGAAGCCCCCGTACCTCCCTCCTTCCTTCCCTCGGCCCGCCCTCCTGCGCACCCCTCCCCCCGAGGACCCCCGCCCCCCGCCCGCCGCCCGCCGCCCGCCGCCCGCCGCCGCCGCCGCCGCCGCCACCTCTCGTTCCGGCTGCAGAACAATAAAGCAAGCCTCCCAGAGACCCCCGCCGAAGACCCCCGCCCGGCGGCCGAGCCTCCGCGGCCCGCCCCTCGCCGCCCGCGCGGGCTGAGCGCGCCCGGTCGCTGGCCGAGGTGCTGGCCGGGCCGGCGCTGGCCGCGGTGCTGAAGCTGCTGGCGCTCCCGCCGTCGCCGCGTTCTCCGGGCCCGGCGCCGCCACCCCCGGGGCCATGGGGGGTCGCTGACTGAGGCTCCGCCGCGGCGGCGGGGGGGGAGGGGAAGGGGGCCGCGGAGCCGGGCCAGCCCTGCACCCACTCGCAGCCTCCGGGCCCGGGACGGAGCCGCTTCCCCCCTCCCCGCCCCCCCAGCCTCCTCCCCCGCCTGTCCAGGGGCGGCACTGCGGGCTGGGAAGCCGGGACCAGAGGAGGGAAGGAAGGAAGAGAAGAGAAGGAAGAGAAGAGAAGAGAAGGAAGAGAAGAGGAGAGGAGAGGAGAGGAGAGGAGAAGGAAGGAGAAGGAAGGAGAAGAGGAGGGATCCTGAGGAGCAGAAGAGAAAACGCAGGGCAGACAGGCAGGCAGGCAGGAGGAGAGAAGACGGCACTCCAGCGGCAGCATTCAAAGGCCAGAGTGGGGACCCGTGCTGCCTCCATCGCTCCTCGGATGGTGACGGGGCCCCGCCGCGGCCGCAGCCCCCCCGCGCCCTGGCTCCGTAGGCCCGCAGCGCCGGAGCCCCGCAGGAATCATGCCCAGGTCCTTCCTGGTCAAGAAGGTCAAACTTGACACGTTCTCCTCGGCAGACCTCGAGAGCTCTTACGGGCGTGCCCGCAGCGACCTCGGCGTGCGACTGCACGAGAAAGGTGCGAGCTAGGCTGGGGCTGGGGGTGGTGGTGAGGGGCCCACGGCAATGCTGGAAGGGATGGAGAGCCAGAGTGTGGGGGTGGAGGGGGCAAGGGCCCCAGGAAATAGACCCGAGGGAACCAGGACTAGCAGGAGTTGGTGGCTGGAGCCAACTGTGGAGGGAGATGGAGATGGGGGGTGGAGAGGGGAACGCAGAGGCAGTCCAGAACCCGGCCAAGGTTGGGTAGGGAGAGTGTCAATGCAGGAGAGAGGGTGGGAGCAGGGGCCAGGAACAGGAGGTCCCTGAAGGTACACACTGACCCACACGCTGACCCATGACGGGACAAACACAGCCACATGGACAACTGCTGACATGACAGGACCTAGCCATGCCTGCAGATCCACACCTAGAAACCTGGACCTGCCTCAGTACCCTTTTTTCTTCTTTGGCTACACCCCCAGGACCCTTTGCTAGGGCCAGCAGGGGAGTACTGTGAGCTCCAGGGAGTAGGCATGGGGTCTAGTGTGGGCCGCCCACCTGTCAGGGCAAAGGTACCAGCAGAGGCAGCAGCAGTGTCTTCTCTGAAGCCAGGGTCAGGGAGAAAGGTGTCGGCAGGCAGGCGGGCTGTGGTCAGGGGAGGCTCTTTGTGTAAGGGTGTCCAAGTTCAAGGACAACTGTTAACACGCAGGCAAAGGGGCTGGGAGTGCCAGCGTGGGGTGGCAGAACAAGTGTGACCTGCAGGAGCCTGTGTGTGAGCCTATGTGCGCCCATGTGACTGCGTGTGACCATGTGACTGTGTGCGCTTATGTGTGACCCTGTATGAGTGTGTGCCTGCCTGTGTGCCACTACATGGGACCATGTGACTCTGAGGCCACTGTGCATCCATGTGACTGGCGACCCTGGCTGACAGTTTGTCTGGGTGGTTGCATGTGTGACCCTGCATGAGTAGGTGGTGTGTGCCAAGATCAGCGTGCAGCCCACCGTGTGAGGGGACTCCACGGTTGATGGTGGCTGGGAAGCTGGGTGTGACCACGAAGAAGCCAGAGCCTGCATGGTGTGGGGTGTGCATTTGTGACTTTGAGGTTGTGAGATCCATCTTGTGCCTTGAGAACAACTGCGTTACTGGCATGAATGATGCTGCCTGCCTGCCTGCAGTTTGTCCCTGTGAAGGTGTCCCCTGGTGGACGCCCTGGCACTCTCTCCAACACAGCGTCTCCCTGGTCGCCTGTCCTGGGGCTTGGGAAGGCTGCCACAAGGGGTTAGGGCCTGGAGGAAGAGGGCAATGTGGAACAAGGTAGGACCCAAGGGTGCAGGATGATTGAAGGGAGTGGGGAGAAGCAGAGTGGATGGAGGGAGATAGGGCTGGAGTGGGAAGGGGGTCAAGTCCAGTGGGGAGTGGGAGACCTGGGAGATGAGAGGGAGGTGCTGGTGAGGGCTAGAGGGGCTGCTGGAGGTAGTTGTCTCCAGGGCTTTTTGGGGAACCTAGGGGACCAGAGAGGGGCAGCATCAGATGGGGCGCAGGTTCTGGGGGCCCGGGGGAAGAGCTGGTGGGAACCCTGAGACGCAAGAGAGATGGGGTCCCTGGGCGGGCGGTCCTGGCTTTGTGCGCTGCGGGTCTGCAGTGTGTTGCATAATCAGGGAAAACTGCTGAAGTGGGGAGAAGCCGAGGGTGGGGGAGGGGGAGGGGAAGAGAGGGGGAAGGGGAAGGAGGGCGAGGGAAGCGCCGCCCCTCCCCCCTGACCTTGAGGCTCTGAGGAAGGGGGGCAGACTCGCCCGAAGATGCGCCTCTTTCCCCCGCTTTGAGGGTGGGGCAGGCGCGGGGGGAGGGGGGCGGCGGGGCGGAGCCCGGCCGAGCCCTGTCTCATCTCTCCTCTGCTCTCTTCCCCTCCCTGCCGTCTGCATACTCCCTGTCCCGCGGCCCCTCGGCCCTTCTCCTTTGTCCTTCCCCCCTTCCCTCCTTCCCCGACCCCGGTGTCTCCTACTGCCCGCCCGTGTGTGTGTCTCGCCCGCTGCCTGGTTGCCCTCCCGCTGTCTGCCCGTCTGTCCGCCTCGGCCCTCAGGATACCTCAACGACTACTCGGGGCCCGCCTCCGTCTACGATGGCGATGCCGAGGCGGCCTTGCTCAAAGGGCCGTCCCCGGAGCCCATGTACGCTGCAGCCGTGCGGGGAGAGCTGGGCCCGGCGGCCGTGGGCTCGGCGCCGCCGCCCACCCCGCGCCCGGAGCTGGCTACAGCCGCGGGCGGCTACATCAACGGCGACGCGGCCGTCAGCGAGGGCTACGCAGCTGACGCCTTCTTCATCACCGACGGCCGCTCGCGCCGTAAGGCCGCCAACGCCAACGCCGCCGCCGCCCCTTCCACGGCCTCTGCGGCGGCCTCCGACACCGAGAGCGGAGGCGGGGCCGGGGCGGGCGCGAGCGGTGCGGGGTCGGGGCCCGGGGGTAGGGGCGGCGCGCGCTCGGGGGCGGGCACCGAGGCGCGCGCGGGCACCGGGGCCGGCGGCGCAGGGGGCCGGCACGCATGCGGCGAGTGCGGCAAAACGTACGCCACCTCGTCGAACCTGAGCCGCCACAAGCAGACGCACCGCAGCCTGGACAGTCAGCTGGCGCGGCGCTGCCCGACGTGCGGCAAGGTGTACGTGTCCATGCCGGCCATGGCCATGCACCTGCTCACGCACGACCTGCGCCACAAGTGCGGCGTGTGCGGCAAGGCCTTCTCGAGGCCCTGGCTGCTACAGGGCCACATGCGTTCCCATACCGGCGAGAAGCCCTTCGGCTGCGCGCACTGCGGCAAGGCCTTCGCTGACCGCTCCAACCTACGCGCGCACATGCAGACGCACTCGGCCTTCAAGCACTTCCAGTGCAAGCGCTGCAAGAAGAGCTTCGCGCTCAAGTCCTATCTCAACAAGCACTACGAGTCGGCCTGCTTCAAGGGCGGGGCCGGCGGCGGCGGCGGCGGCCCCGCAGCCCCGGCGCCCGCTGCGCCGCCGCAGCTCAGCCCTGTGCAGGCCTAGGGCGGCGGTGCCTCCGCCAGCCGGGTCGGCTCTCAGCAATACGGGCCCCCAGGGAAGTCTCCGCTGGCGCCCGGGCGGAGGGGCGGGAGGGCAGGCCCCTCCTCACAGCAATAGGGGGAGGGGGCCCGGCTCCGCCCCGCCCGCCAGGGGCCTTGCCGGCCCCTTCAAGCAATAGGGTCCCGAGGGGAGACCCACCCCGAGCCCCCTACCTTCCCCTCCAGGGTGCCCCAGGCTTTTTCCCAGCAATAGGGTCGAGGAGACCCGGAACCGAACCTCATCTCCGAGTTAGGTCTCTGAAGACGGGGGTGGAGTGAGGTAGGGAGCGCCCCCTTTCTCCCTCCTCTGTGCCCCTAGATTGCGTCTTAGAGACTCAGGTCCTCCCCACCCCTCCCCAAGCCTTCCAGGGCCAGGCCTGCGGCCTAGACGTCCAGGGAGCCGGCCCCTCCCCGGCAGCAGACCGGGAGAGGAGCAGGAGGGAGGGGGCCTGCAGAGGCATCCTTACTCCTCAGTCTTCGCTGAACCCCGCGAGTGTTAGACGCATTGGGGATCGGGGAGGGGGCGGATGGCGGCACCCCTCTCCCTTGGGTTCCTTCTGGGGCCTCAGTCCGAGCCGCTCTCCTACCCTCGCCTCGCATCCTCTGCCAAATCCGAATTCTTCCGGCCCAGCTTCTCGGGCTCTGTCCTCCATAACGAATAATAATGACGCATATCGAATCGCATGGACTTATCCGACCTCCTCAGACCCCGCTCCCGCCCTGCCCCGGGGCTCCCTCCCCTCGTACCCGGGCATTTGGTGTTGGAGGACGGATTCCTGGCGCCCGGCAGGCAGACCTGGGCACGGCCCTCTACACACCCCTCCGTATTCGCTTTGCGGGTAAAGCCCCTTGGGGGGATTGCGGATGCGTCGGGTTTCTTTCTTTTTGTATTCGTACGTTTTATTTATGAACGATTGCACTCGGGTCAGGGAACGGCCGCTGAGGCCCATATCCTTCCAGCCGACGCCCGGGGCTTGGGACTTCCAGGATCTTTCCCCGCCCTTGAACCTCGCCCCAACCTGGGCTCCGCCCCCTGGGGGGCCTCAGGCCACGCCCCTCATAGGCCCGCCCCTCTCTTGAGCCCCGGCCCCGCCCCCACTCTGTTGCCAACTTTCGCGCGTCTATGCCAAAGCCTCAGCGGCGACACCGCCCCAAGGGCCCGCCCCATTGGCCGCCGCCTTTGTGACGTCACTGCATGCAGCCCCCCCCCCACCCCCTGTAAAAACACTGTGCAGACCCTTTTGTTTCTTATCTCCCCAATGAGCTGGCTGCAAGATGCTGTAGGTCCCAACTTGCCCATTGAAAAGAAGACTGCACGTTGGGCCTTTCAGCTCTAGGGCAATGTAGGACACCCAGAGCAGAAGTCCTACTTTCAGCC